GCCTGGTAACTGGAATGATCTTTTAAAATGAGATTCATCCTTTGTTCTGTTTTCTTTAAGCTAGACAGAAGGTTTTATTAACCCCCATGAAAAGATTGATTATATGCTGGCATTTTGATGAATGTTCACTTTCGTGACTGCATGTCCATGATGAGTTCTTAGGCATACATGAATTCTTTACAAGTAGCATATTACACATTAAAGTTATTATAAAAATCTGTCTGTAGTGCATCTAGAGGAGTGTAATGAAGAAGGTAAGAACTCTTTTCTACATTGGTGTTAGGAAAAGAGGAAATTAAAGGGTAGGACTAATGGGGAAAAGTAAAGGTGGGCCAGAACTTGTTTCTTCATGGCCAACCTTAGGAGGCAGGAAATTAACTCATCTGGGATTATGTTGGGACTAAAGAATCCAGTTTAGAAGATCTGGTAAAGACATTTGCATAAAGGTATTTGGTGCTAAGCTGCAGCTATATACTTCTTCTATGTAGATGGGGATTTGGGAGATTCCCAGGTATATGGAGGTTTCCTTTAGTTAAATAGAGCAAAGTGCATTAATAAGAATTTGTCTCAAGGAAAATACTTTACCATTATTCTCTGTGTAGAGTGTGGAACATATTCTTATAACAAAGGAAACTGTCAATACAATATACTACTGACCTGTCCAAAAAGCCCAGAGTTTTCTGAGGATTCAAAGCGATCTGGAGTCAGTTTATGTATGAATCCCAGGTGATCATAGTATAATGTGAAAACTTTATCAGTAACAATTCCAATTTCACTATATGTCACTAGTCCTATAAGGAAATAAATAGAAGGCTTATGTGATATATTATAAATTGAAGTATATTAATATAATAACCTGTAAAACTTATTATTTCAGCAAAAAGGTAGGAGTAGGGCTCTGAGACTCTTGAATTCACAAAATACATGTTAGTCCATGTTAAGACCCTGAGGAGTCCTTTACAGAATCCATGTTGCTATAGAACCTTCTCACTGAAGTAGGTGATGGAACAGAATGAGGGATGTTTAATTAAGGGATCTAGAAGAAAGTGGTTTAGTTTTCCTGGTGGTATTTTCTCTTCTTGAAGCCAACAAATCAGGTTCCTGAATAGACAGAAGTGGTGAGGAAACAATGGCAGGAAGGCTGTCAGTAGATCGGGGTATTCTGTTGAAGTAAGCTCGATGCACTGTGGTTTTTTTTGTGGGCAACATGTTATTGAGAAGTGCTGTCAGTAATCTGGTGGCAGAGCAGTGTTCACTTAGCCAGTCAGGTAGTGATCTAGAGGAGGAGTCCCTCTCCTGGAAGGAGCTAGAGTGAAAGCTTATCTTGAAATGAGAAAGTCTGATTTATGCACACCACTCCACTCAGGCCTTCCTGTCCCCAACCTCTCAGCATAGAAGAGCCCTAGGGTTCAGTTCTTTTTTAAAATGTATTTTGCACAAGGTCTCACTATGCAGCTTGGACTCACAGTGACCCACCTCCCCAGCGCTGGTATTACAGGAGTGCGCCACCATGCCCAGTCTTGGTGGCTGGCTCAGCATGCCTGGGGACAGGGATGGGGGCTGTGCAGCATATGGTACTGGGGATTGAACCATGGTCCCTATGCTAGTCCACTGAGCTACCTCACTGACCCTTAGGATTCAA